AATAAATTGGGCGTTGGATATACCTTTCCCATCCCTGCGACCAGGGGATTGAAATAACATAAATTCCTGTTCAGTCAAACTCCAGAATTAAAAAACCTGATTTTGACGATTTAACCTAAAAAAAAGGTCTCTTTAGGCGGCTCGATTACCAATTCAAGTTACATAAAGGGAAAATATTTTCTTCTTGTTTAACCCTTTCAAGTCAACTCCTCGTGGGACATTTCCACGCTTTGAAAGTTCAGATTCAGTTTTTGTCTATGAGCCAGTTATTTTGAGAATTGATTTTTTGACCGTTAAGAGAAAAGTGAGATCCACCTGTAAGAGAAAAAGTCAAATTTGACGATCGAAATAATAAAATAACGATCAAAAAATCAATTTTTTGAGGAAAAAAATCACTCCCAAACAGGCTATATATTTAAACATGCCTGCATGACTCGGATATTCATAATTCAAGATCATGAAATATGATCCGACGTTCTTCGTTTTCGTTCCCATCTTCTTCTTCTTCTTCAGATCCTCCATAGCTGTTGACAGCTTAGCTCCAAATCAGACTCTCTTGGATAATAACACAACGCTTGTTTCTGCAAGCCAAACCTTTGAATTAGGTTTCTTTAGTCCATGGAATTCCAACAGCCGATACATCGGAATCTGGTTCAAGAAAGTCCCAGAACGAACTGTGGTGTGGGTGGCAAACAATAACAATCCATTGACGGACTCTTCCGGGATTCTCACAATCACTCCTGATGGAAACATCATTATCACCAGCAACAGAAACCAATCAAGTATCATTTGGACTGCAAATATAACATCAAGAACAGTAAGTAATCCAGTCTTGCAAATCCTGGAGAGTGGAAACCTTGTCCTGAAAAGTAGTACTGACAATAATCCGGATAACTACGTGTGGCAAAGCTTTGATTATCCCCGTGATACACTAATTCCTGGCATGAAGCTCGGATGGAACCTTAGAACAAATGAAGAATTGTACTTAACCTCAAGGAGAAGTTCACAGGATCCATCTACGGGTGACTATACATACAGAATGGACCGTCGTGGGTTGCCTTCAATAGTTCTTCGCCGAGGATCGCAAGTTCAATTCAGAAGCGGACCTTGGGATGGTGTTCGATTTGGTGGCCAACCTGTTCTGCGAAAAAATTCAGTTTTTAATCCAATTTTTGTGTTCGATTCAGACAATTTGTATTATGCATTTGAAAACGTTGATGCTTCTATCATATCAAGGTTTGTGATGAACGAGTCAGGCCTCGTCCAGCACCTCACATGGAGCCAGGACCACTGGAATAACATAGCCACAATGCAATCAGATTCTTGTGATAATTATGCAAGCTGTGGTAATTTCGGAGTTTGTACCTTTTCTAATTCACTAAGTTGTGATTGCCTATCTAGGTTTGTGCCCAGGGAGAGAGAAGCTTGGGCACAGTTTGATCGATCAGCTGGATGCATTAGGAGGACGCCGTTGAACTGTAGTACCAGTAGCGGATTCAGAAAGTTTTCGGGACTAAAATTGCCCGACCCTACGAATTTTTCAGTGAATATAAGTGCAAAAAATCTGTTCGAATGCGAGGCTACTTGTTCGAGAAATTGTTCGTGCGTGGC